TCTTTCTCCTGCATGTATATATGTGCCCCATGTGCATTTCTGGTACCCATGGAGGCCAGAAGAGCATGTCAGATCTCCTGGAACTGGAGTTACAGACCTTGTGAGCCCCTTTATGGGAGCTGGGAATCAGACCAATTCCTCTGTTCTTAAATGGTGAGCCATCTCTCCAGCTCCTACTTTAATACATTTTTTGAGAGCTGAGTGTTGGAGTGAGTCAGCACCTCCAATGGAGAAGCATTGGTAGCCAGGCTGGGGCTCGAGAGATAAAGACATGGCCTGTTGCTTTCCCTGTTGTGTGGGGAGGTGCAGCAGCAGGTACTCTGGGGAGGCATCCAGGAAAGATATTGTGAGCTTTATCTCATGGAACTTCCTTCTTCCCGGCTGCTCCCTCCTCCCTGGTCTGGGCGTACAAAAGTGCCTTTGCCTAAAAACTCTTTAAAGATTGCAAATTTGTCAGCGTATAAGCAGGATTTTTGCCCACAGATGTTTGCTTTGTCCCATTAGGGTTTTTGTTTGTTTGTTTGTTTATATTTTTGTTATCATTTTGAAAAGTGTTTCTTAAAATCAATCCCTTGATAACATTCAGAATGTAGATATTTCAGATAAAAATCTGGATTTCTAGCATCCTTATAAAAACAACAAGTGCTAATAAGGCATCTCGTCTCACGTAGCAGCCAGCTGATGGAGTGAGTAGAGTTCTGTCATAGCAGACATGCACTCCTTGCTGACTCTCTCGTCTCTATGAGGATGTGACAGTTTGATCCATGAACTTATGAACTATGATTTTTATGTATATATATATATGTGTATATATATATATATATATATATATATATATATATATATAATAAACCCTACTTTCTCTTTCTCCCGCCCATCCCTGTCACTAGCCCTTCCCCACAAATCCCTTGCCCACATCCCTATCTTTTGGTTTGGTTCTGTGACTATATGTTTAACCAGGGCCCTTATAGTTTGGTGGGCTCATTGGGTGGACATCTGAAGATCCTGACTGCTCCTTCCCCAGAATCTTTAGTAGTCCGTAGTTTAGCAACAGAGGTGGGCCCCCTTGAGCCCCTCACCCACTCAAGCCTAATGTTGACTGGCCCGTTCTTGTCCCTGACCAGTGCAGGCAACTTCGTAAGTCCATGATTGCAGTTGTTGGGTCATGCCACAAAGATAGCATTTCATTTCAGTCTCTGTTTTCCTACCCTGATGTTCTTCCTCTCTATTCCCTGAGCCTTAGAGATAGCAGTACAAATGTCCTGTTTAGGGCTGAGTTCAGCTATTTCTTTTTCTTGGCACCTTGAAGCCAGGAGTTTCTGCATTCACCACCATTTATTGTAAAGAAGAGCTTCTGCCCTCAGGTAGTGTTTCTCTGTGGATATTAACATCGACATTTAGAAGGCAGTTAGAGGCCTTGTGAAGTTGGCTCTGTGAGCCTATGGCCTCTCCAGCTGTGGATTTTGAAACCGGATTTCAGTCCCAGGCTTGAACTGTCTTGCCGAAGGAGCCAGGAGTCCAGCCGGAGCCGTTGTTGGCCCTGTAGGGACTACCACTGTGGAGCAGTGTAACCCTTTCTTCCAGAACTGCGAGGAAAATTTAAGCCCTGCCTTTAAAGGTTGAAGCTTTCATACAGCTAGGTTTTCATGTCATTCTTTTCTCATTAAGTGATACTGATATTGACTGGAAACAGTAACAGTTCGAGAGTCAAAGAATTGAACTATAGTTCAGCTTGTATCGACACGCTCACTTGCTCTGCCTTTTTGTGTGGCATTATCCTCCTGGCGTCAGGCCATCACTGGCCAGTTCATGTAATGGTCTTATTTCAGAGACAGTCCTGGTTAGTGTTCCCAGGAGTTCAGACACTTGTCACCTGATTGGAAGATATAACTAATCACAGGACTGGATGGACGAAGGGAGGAAAGACAAGCTAAATAAGTAAATATGACCACCCCTCCAGAGGTCCACCACAGTTAGTGTCCTTGGAGGAACTAAGACTCAGTCTTCAAACAAAGTAAGAGTAACCTCAGGATTTCATAGTTAAGACTCGGAACCTTTGCTGAGTCTTGGAGTGCAGGGTTAACAGTGCTAGGTGTGTGTTCATCCCCAAATACACAGCCTTACGTCACTGTTGCCGTGGCGACTTGTTTTCTCTCCTTCTGAATGGGAAGCTCTAGGAGATTGGCTGGAGGGGAGAGCGGTCCCATCTGCCTTCTGCCCCTACACATGGGCATTTTTCTCGTGGGAGAGTGGCACAGTTGGCTGGCCTGGCTTGTGTTTTCTGTGGTTTTGTTTACATTCCTCTGGGTATCATAAGGAAAAACAATGTCTGTTTGGAGGGAGAAATGAACCCCGAGTCCCTGGGTTCCTGGAGCATTTGGGTTTGGCCTCCCGCTTTGAGAGTGAGAGTGCTGCCTTCACGCTCAGACACAGAGGGCTGGGTCATCGGGGGGCCAACCTCAAAGCAGGCCCGGGGTCATTTCAGCAGTCAGGAGACTCAAAGTGGACATCATCCCACCAATACACGCCTTTAGTCCCAGCACTCAGGAAGCAGAGGCAGGCAGATCTCTGAGTTCCAGGACAGCTGGAGCTACACACAGAAATCCTGTCTCGAAAAACCATAAATAAATGAATGAATGAATGAATGAATGAATGAATGAATGAATGAATGAATGATAAAAATTTAAAAAAAGAAAGATACCCAGCAAAGAACTGTTGTGCCCAGCCTAGGCAGGGCTCGCCGGTGTGTTCCTGACGCTGTTCTGAGGTAGATGATTGCTTGTGCTGTCATTGTCTTCTGAAAGTCTGCTGGTGTGCTTCTTCAAATCACACCTCTGACAGTGTGGGAAGTCTGCTCTCAAGTGACATGAGTGTGACCAACGTAGCTTATGTACTGGTTTGAGAGGAGTTACTTAGGAAGTACCTGGATTCGCCTCTAAGGCTAGCTGTTAGAGGGTAGCAGGAGCCATCTGCCTGCACAGATAGCTCCGGGGACACTGCATTTCCGTCCCTCAGAAGCCTTGTTCCGTTCTCTGTGCTGAAGTTTGGGAAATACATGACTCATTTAGCAAGTTTTTGATGGCCTCTAACTAGAGGCCCCTTTCTCTTCTGTGGACCCCTTTAAAACGGAGCGCACAGAGCAGTGTCTGATCAGGCAGTGAGTGAGCCCAGTGTATCCAGATCACATGGGAAACTTTACACGGTGATCTAAGGTAAGGCCAGCTCTGTCTCTAAAGTTCCCCAAGTGAGTCTAGTGTGAAGTCCAGACTAGGAAGAAGTGACCAAGCTGCATGCTTTCAGGTCACCCCGGAGTTCCTGAAGCACCAGAGAGGATACCTAGAAGCAAGTGGGTAGAGCAAACGTCAGGGTCTCCAGGTCCCAGTATCTTCTGCTTGCCCTAATCCCACCTTTTTCCCTGAGGAATTCTGCGACTTTCTGTCTTGTACATAGTCTGTGATGGGAGCCAGGGGTTTTCCTGGTTTGTTCATTCGTCCTTTTAGGGGAGGAGGAGGGCCGTGCTAGGGGTTTAATGCATGGCTTCACACCTAGTTTTTCAGCAAGTGCTCTACCACTGAGCTACAGCCTAGCCCCCGTTAAACCTTGGTAAGTTACTCAGGCTGGCATTAGATTTACACTCCTCGCTTCTCAGCCCTAAGCAAGACTCTTAGGTGTGTACCATTAAGTCCTGTAGAGCAGATTTTTATCACAGTTCTAGGCACAGGCCCTATCTGAAAGGAGCAGCACAGACGTTAAACCTAGTTTTCTAGGACTGCGAATGCAGACCCTTCTACAAGAATCCGTGGTCTGTAGCCTTTGAGGAATCTAGCAAAAGGAAATCTAATCGTAGTAAGTGATAGTGACCCACGAGCTAACCCTTACGACAGCTGAGCAGTCTCAAATGGAAGTGCGGTGGAACTCAGTGGAACTGACCACTGGAGAAGCCAGGTGATTTCCGTGCCTTTAGTTGGCTCATACAGTATTTTTTCTTCAGTTTACCCCAGGCTCGAACACCCCACAATTTGTATTGGTTTGCTTATCTTGGCCCAGCCCTGGTCCTTTATCTAAACAACCTTCAAAAATCATTTGTTACCATGGTGTGGTCTACAGGGCTGTTCTCATTTCCACCACTGAAACAATCTATTCTGTTAACTGTCGGTCATGGCTCCCCCAGAGTCAGGTTTTAAGGGGTTGATATTTAGCAGACACTGAAAGAGCTATGTTTTATTTCCCCTCCTTGGTAAAAAGGAAAAGACAGAAGTGTGGCCTCTTATTTAAGAATAGCATTTGGTGTTAGAACTTCATACAGAGTTTATATAGGAAATCCATCACTGTGAGCATGGTTCTCGCTCTGTTTCCAGGAAGCTAAGACGCTGCATGAGTGTCTTGGTGAGCTAGATTGCATTTTTTTCCTAAGTCAGATCAAATGTAATTAAAATTACTCTTCTCCTTCATCTTTTGCTGTTTGAAACACTCATTGCTCTGTGGTCTCACTGATGGACTCATCTCCTGGGATTATAGATCGGCATGCTTTCATTTCCAGATTGCAGCCTCTCTGTCATGAGTTTTCCAGTTTTTGGTTTTTCCTCTTTTTTTTTTTTTTTTTTGGACATATTTGTTTTATGCTGTATCACAAAATGGATTTTCTCATTTCACTTCTGAAAGTATTTGTCCCCTTACAATTAATTAATGAGTAAGATGTGCATCCAAGGATATTTATCCAGTGGCACCAATCAAATTTTATATTTTTAAAAGCAACCATGCCTTAAAAAATAGTTGGCAAGTCATTTTAATTTTTAAAAAGCTCATTTTCCAAAGCAAACTAGTTTAAAAAACTAATAAAAATATTCCTATAGCAATTCTATACAATAAAATTACTATTGAAATTATTGCCAATTTTTGGCTATTATACTCTTTCTTATATAACTTAAAATATGGACCAGAAAAGTATAGAAAGAGCATAATTCTAAAACATACAGCATAACTTTTTTTTCTTTTTGTAGCATTAATCTTATCACTGGTCATTTAGAGGAACCAATGCCAAACCCTATAGATGACATGACAGAAGAACAAAAAGAATATGAAGCCATGAAACTTGTCAACATGCTTGATAAACTCTCCAGGTATTGTATTCCCGTCCATTTTTTGCTTGGTTTCTAAGAACGGTCGATTTCTTTGTCTCTCTCAGCGAGAGTTCCCATAGCACAGCAGCTCTGGCGTCCATGTCTATTGGAACAGGAGCCTGGCAGCAGCGTTAGGTGCCGCCACGTTTCTCTCCAGGTGCCCCTTCTGGATGTACACTCCTGAGACATGTCAACACTCAGTGCTGAGGCAGTACTAGAGGTGGCTGTAATATTAACTGACTAACCTCCCTGTCTTCCAAAGAATGCTTCGAGTTAGAGTCAGTGACTTTGCTGCTTCTTGTATTTTTGTTTCAGTCTGTTTTAGTTTTTGTTTGAAACCATGGTGCGCTTTTTCTCCTTTCCTTTTTGATGTGCAAGTTCGCAGTATTGCTTTTTGAGTTGCTGCTGAAACCAAGAATTCTAAAATGCCATATATCCTTCAGGAAGCAGTGAAAAGAAATAGCTCAAATAGAGGACTTTTTTTTTTAATCAGGGACTTTTACTAATTAGGAGTTCCAAAAACAACCAGCCCCCCCCCCACCCCGCCCTTGCTTCACACCTCCTTCCTTTTCACAAGAACCAGTGTTGTAGGTAGTTCAGTCAAGATCTGCTGACCATCAAGTAGCTCTTTTGGAGGAGTTCTTAGGAGGGGGTTCCTGCAGGCTTGGATGGGTCGCCTTACTCTCCAGTCATCCATTGAGCCACTGTGTCCTGTTAAGTCATCTTGAGTGAGTGTTTCTTTGTGTTGGTGACAGCCACCATGGAAAGGTGAATCTCTTCTGCTCATCTCATTTTTCACACAACCATAAAGGTTGCTATTCATCCATCAAGAAAAAGAACATTTGAAATGGAATAGCCAGAGACTAGCTGGGAAGAAAAGGGGTGACCTCAGGGAGCTATAGGTTCCATTTGTAGCCAGAGGCTTAGCTGAGCTGAGAAGTGGATGACTGTGGGTTGGTACAGTTAGAGCAGATAGGGTCTTTTGACATTCTGTCGTCTTAAGCCTTCTGGATGATAGCGGCAATGCATAGAAGCTGCTTAAAAGTAGCTTCATTATCTACAAAGTATTCTTGAACTTGGTGACTGCTGGCTGCTCCTAAATTTTTGTCCTTTCCCAGCATTTGGCCTGTTTGCAAATTACATTTTCTACAAGTTCTTTCCCAGAAGGAATTAATAACAGTCACAGAGACTGTTACTAGAGCAGACCTATATTAAGCAAAATAATGAGCTCTGTGTGAATATATAGAATAAAATCTGGTGGCTGGAGAAAGAGTTCAGTGCTAAAGCCCAGGCCCTGGGTTCAGTCCCCAGCACCCTCCCCTCCACAAAAAGAGTATATGTAAAAATAAGTTGCATGGGCCTGACAGTTTCCAGATGGGTCTGGTGTAGCTAATGAGACATGGTGGCATAAGTAAATTAGAGTGAAATCAGTAGATCCATCTGGTGGAAGCCAGAAAGGAAATTGTTAGTGAGGACCTGAGTGGAACATGTTTGTGTTTTAGCACAGTAGATCACTCAAGTAGTAGAAATTTCCTGTTGTGATGAGAAGAGTTGCTGGCAGTTAACACAGATGCTGCATAACTAGTCTGTTTAACCTGCATGAGGAAACACCCCAGCACAAAACAGAAAATGAGGAATAAACGCCCAAGATAATAATACAGTGTAATCTGGATACTTGGCTTATTCATAAATATATCGCCAATTTCGTAAAGTACCCTATTAATTCACATAAAACGATTCTCTTTCATCTCAGGGGAATCTACATATTTTATACATATTTTAGAAGCTACCAATAAATAAACACCTAGACATTAATTCTGAAATGTCCAACTTCCACCTGATTTAAACTATGTCTCTAAAAAGACAAACATTCACCAAGAAGCACCCAACAGGTGACCAGCTCAAGCTGAAGGTGGTCCTGATGCTCACATGTATAAAACAGAGCTAGGAAGTCTTGTGTTGGCTTTGATGGAACCTATTTTGCATTAAAGTTGAAGCGAGAGTAATTTGAGAATAGTCTTAAGTCGTGTTGGCTTTTTTGCATGACGTATGGTAGGTTTCACATTGTCTGCCTGTGTGTGCTTTCTAACATTTGCTCTCACTAATCACAGTGACAGCTCTGTGAAGGTTAGCGGTAGGCATCCCAGAGCAGGAATGCAAAGACTGAAACCATTCCTTCACGTGTCTTTCATGTTTGTTGTGCTGTATTATTCATTAGTCGTAAGCTTCGTCTTTCTTTTCACTTTTTTCTTATTTTTGATAAAATAAGAAAAAATAAGATGCCGTACAGCCAAGTAGACTTAGTTTCAGTACCGTACAAAGAGCATTTACTCAACAGCTCCCATGGGCAAGGGAGATTTGGAGGTGAGACAGTGTCTGCCTTTGGAAAACTCATACTCTAGCAGCTGTATAATCTATTTCAGAATACAAAGTAGAAACTGCGAAAAACAAGCTATGTGTTGAACTGTTTGACCTAGGGAAAAGGAGCAGTCTGTTCTGTCTAAATAGTTCAGGGAATCTTTTCCAGGGAACGGAAGTGACGTGTGGGCTGGTCATGAAGTTTAAGAAGTATTCTAGAGAGAAATGAAAATGGCCATTCATTGTAGGGAGAGAGACTTAGTCCTTTTAAGTCTTTAGACTTCACTTAGTGCATCTTTCTTCCAAAGAGCTCAAGTGGCATGTTAACCTCACTGACCAGTGGGAATTAAGGACCACAGAAATGCCCCAAACATTTCCAAGGGGATGCATGCTGATAATCCATTTTCTTTACAGTTTACAAAGCACTTGCCCATTGTACTGTCTCCAGCTCTAAGACAGAGTGAGACTAGGAACGTGATTTTCCAGAACTAGGGGCCTCTGCTCTGTCCACTGTGTTACTGTGTCTCTGTTGTGTTCGCCAGGACACTTGAGTCACCTCTCGGCAGTGTCTCCTGCCCCTGACAAGGAAAGGCTTGAGTAGAGCGTAGGACTGGAGGTGACGTGGCCATGGCATGGACACTAGCCACTTCCTTTTCTCATCCCTAGGAGAGCAGATGTGAAGGCGCTGCACCAGGATGGTGGTTAGCAACAGTGGCCCGTGCCAAAGCACTTTCCAAAGTGATGACTAAGGTTGGTCATGCCAAGTCCTATTCCTGAGCCTGGTGTAGGGTATAGATGTTACTGCCCAAAGTGTAAAGCCACTACTGTGAATCTGGAGGTCACATTTCCATCTCACCTCACACTAGACATAGCCCTAAGGAGCGCATGTCCTCAGCATCTTTATCCCAGCTAGTGAGGAGATTCGTGCTCAGAAGGCTCCTTACTGAATATGGACCGAGTAACATTCTCAGTGACGACAGATCATGTCTGTGGTAGATGTTTCTAGTCCTTTGTAGGATGGCAGTGCATCTGGAGGTTTTCAGAGCTCAAAGGCCATCTGAACCCTGTAAATCCTGTCCTGTACAGCTAGTTCAGTGCCTTTGCCCTATGGTTCCCCGGTGTGCAAGGATGGAGAATGGAATGGCTCACCTCCAGATTGGAAGTCTGTTGTTTTCTGTATAAAATAACCTGCAGGGTTCAAGGCTTTAGAGTGTACTTGTCAATTCAGTTTCTTAGCCAAACTTCATCAAAGTAGAGGCTGTAAAGGAATGTCATAAAAAATGTGGGTCGTGGCCGGCTAATTTAAATAAGTGATGCGGATTTCTTTAATCTAGAATAAGTATACTATTTAGCAGTCAAGCCTGAGGTAGAAGATTACAGAAAACATCTTGCCTGCCTCTCCACCTCTCTTTCCTTCTCAGACTTGGAAGGCAAAACTAAGGTCCTGCCCTCCAGCAGGAGACTGGAATGGTGGTGTGTAGGTAGGAAGTCAGTCCAGGCGCCCGGCACAGCTGCCCGCGCCCGGCAGTGGCACACTCACACACTGAGGAGCCTTCAAACAGCGTTGGCAAAAGACACCTTATAATTACAGTTTTGTTTCCATTCCTCTAATCCCCTTATTGACACCAGATGAATTGATCTCAGACTCCATTCTCACTCCAGCACTGTTTATCAAGGCACTTTGCCTGTCTGCTTACACCAATGAAAACTGTTTTCAGTTGCATGCAAATAAAGAAATAAAGAAATAAGGCCTGTTCTGCCGCCACTTCCTCCTCTCATCCATTCTCGGGCCACTAACCACACTTCCCATCTCACCCCCATTTTTGCCAGCCATATTGGTATATGGGACATGGCTTTCTTAATGCTGGAATCAAATATAAGGCTATGAGTGATTTACGCCTGAAAGTAACATACATAACTTTTTTCCATATAAATATTGCTCTGTCTTACAAAAATACCAAAATCTGTAATTGCATATGCCTTTGTGAGGCGTTAGTCTAGGGTATGCTTTTTGGGTGCATTTCAGAAACACAACCCACACTTTTAAAGCATTGTAAGACCTGATATAGGCATCAGAGTTCGAAGATCATAATGGTTAGGTCAGATCATTTGGATCTTCACTGTCCATTGTAGGAACCACTATTTCATGACTACTGAACACTTGAGGTGTGGTTATTCCAAATTAGGATGTCCTCTAAAGACAAAAAGAGAATGCAAAGTATCTCATTAATTATTTAGATTGTGTTTAAAATGACCGATTTTTGTATGGGATTAAACAAAATATATCACTGAAGTCAATTTTACCTCACTGTACTTTTCTGTCTAGCTAGTTGGACATTGGATATCAATATGCAGCTTCCGTAGTGGCCTGGCTCGTATTTCTGACATACAGCACTGTTCTCCATCATTAAGGTTCCATGAAAACTCCTTTGGGGAGCTCGGTACTGTATATACTGACCCAGGAATGAGAGGCCTGCTCTGAGAAGCTCTGGTCTGTGCATCTTTGGTATAGAGGACCGACTCGGTGGCTGGACATCCGAGCAGGCTGCCGTTGGCCTTTGTAGTCCTTATGGCAGTCACTGAGTGCTTGGTTAAAGCACAGGCTGCTGTGGCTCTGGACAGTTAGCAGGCATGAAATCAAA